AATCCCCGCTTATGCTAATGAAGCCCGGGAAATTCAAATCCCGGGCTTCATTAGCAAGTGCGGTATGCATACATTACCCTCCTAGTTCGAACTAGGAGGGTAGTGTAGACATACCCTGAGGTACTAAAAGCATGGTTTGAATAGAGATACCAGATTGCCCTTCCTCCCTGCTTTCCTTGCTCTTTATCCGTTCTCCCTTAAATCCCCGCTTATGCTAATGAAGCCCGGGAAATTCAAATCCCGGGCTTCATTAGCAAGTGCGGTATGCATACATTACCCTCCTAGTTCGAACTAGGAGGGTAGTGTAGACATACCCTGAGGTACTAAAAGCATGGTTTGAATAGAGATACCAGATTGCCCTTCCTCCCTGCTTTCCTTGCTCTTTATCCGTTCTCCCTTATGATGGAGAAGTGCTACCAGGCCGCTTCACCTTGAATGGTCCCTTGAAATGTGTTAACTCTGTGTTCTGAATAGCCCGTTCCACCTTGTATTTAGTGGTGACCATAGGTGCTCTGGAGCTGGAGCACCCACAGGGAAAAATGAGCACCCATTGGCAGCCAAGCTCCTTCTTAACCCCCTCACCACCCTCTGTGTCTCTCTCCTCCTGGTAGGCCCACGTACCTCCTCCTCCCCCACTCTCCCAGCACTTTCAGAGTGGCACATGGAGTTCAGGAAGCTCCAGAGGACCGGTGGGGGGGGAGCGGGATGAGGAGCTGAGGAAGTTCGGAGACAGGGCTTGAGAGAGGGGTGGAATGGGGGCAGGGTAGGGTCAGGACAGGGGCCAAGCACTCCCAGCTAGAGGAAAATTCAGCACCTATGGCTGTGACATTCTGGATATATCTACACCGCAGGTAGCCAGGGCTGGCTGACTTGCACTTGCAGAGCTTGGGGTAAAAGGCTACTTAATTGCAGTGTAGACTTCCAAGCTCAGGATGGAGCCTAGGCCCTAGGGCCTGGCGAGACAGCAGGGCCCAGAGCGTAGGCTGCTCTCCAGACCCAAAGTCTACCAGGTAATAAAACAGCCTGGCAGCAATTAAACAGCCCTACAGTCCCCACCTGCCTCAGCTGTCACAGGCCAGCTACAGGTTTTTAGTTGCAGTGTGCACAAGACCCTCTGAGGACATTTCTCAGACCCGAGGAAGAGTCCTGTGCACTTCGAAAGCTTCTCTCTTTCACCAGCAGCAGCTGATTCAATAAAGGGTGTCCTCTCCCTCACCTCGTGTTTCTCATGTTCTGACTAGTCTATTTGCAACCCTCGAAGTAGCCAGCTTTCATAGTAGGACACTGACCTGACTCCGGTTGTGTTGCATTTACTCCTGAGTTTGTGACTGGAGCCAGCAGCCTACATAAAAAGCAAGGTAGGACTCCAGGTAGTAGGCTGTCCCCTAAGGGAAACAAGGCCCTTCAGAAATGCTTTTGAAGTTGTATTTCTTTTAGGATTGATTGTATGCATCTAAAATGGCTGGGCCTTTTCATTAGCAGATCGTTGGAGTTGTTAACTCCAAAAAACAATTTGTTTAATGCTAAATAGCCCACAAATAAAATTACAGACCCATCATTCATAAAGCCAGTCCAATTCCCAATTGTTCTAGTCTTCCATTCGGTGTGAATGTCACTACAGTTGTCGTGGCGATGGTAAATAGATCTGATGTGAAGTCAAAACAATGCTTTACTGTCTGCTGAAAATTAACGTCTTCAAAGACCAAAACGAAGAGCCATATGAAAGTCTGATGTTCCCACAGAATATAATCCTGTCAATAATCCCTGGAAGTGAAATCAAAGGCAGGAAAATCTGAGGTATTTC